CCTATCACTACATGCCCTTGTAAAAAGTCCCTCCCCAGCTTTCTTGTAGGCCCCCTTCAGGTACTGGAGGGCTGCTATAGGGTCTCCCTGTAGCCTTCTCTCCTCCAGGTTGAACAACCCCAACTCTCTCAGCCTGTGCTCATATGGGAGGTGCTCCAGCCCTTTGATCATCTTTGTGGCCCTCCTCTGGACTTGCTCCAACAGGTCCATGTCCTTCTTACGTTGGGGGCCTCAGAGCTGAACGCCATAGTCCAGGTGGGGTCTCACCAGAGCAGAGTAGAGGGAGACAATCACCTCTCTCGACCTGCTGGCCACGCTTCTTTTGATGTAGCCCAGTATACAGTTGGCTTTCTGGGCTGCCAGCGCACATTGCCGGGTCATGTTGAGCTTCTCATCAACCAACACCCCCAAGTCCTTCTCCTCAGGGCTGCTCTCAATCCATTCTCCGCCCAGCTTGTATTTGTACTTGGGATTGCCCCTACCCATGTGCAGGACCTTGCACTTGGCCTTGTTGAACTTCATGATGTCCGCAGAGGCCCACCTCTCAAGCCTGTCCAGGTCCCTCTGGATGGCATCCCTTCCCTCCAGCATGTCAACCACACCACACAGCTTGGTGTTGTCAGCAGACTTGCTGAGGGTGCACTCGATCCCACTGTCCATGTCGCCGACAAAGATGTTAAACAGCACATGATGAATAGTTGTTCATCATTTGGCGTCTGCCCTTGACTCCCAAAGTACCTTCTCCTTGAAACAAAGCCATGCCTTGCCAACAGCAACCCAATCAGCGACTCCCAGACCCAGTCCTGCAATGCCCTTTTCTTTCAGAGCCACCCATCATTTTCTCACTTTGATATTTTCTGCCCTTTTTACTTTTCATCATCTTGCCACTTAGTAAAAGTCACAAAGTTTGAGGAAGGCAACAATGAAAAGTATTGTGAGCAGCTTAACAGCTGAGGTGTGTAAGGGATATTTTAATCCCCTTGTATCTTTCTGTTATCAAAGGATTCACCTTGTAAACTACATCAGACTGTGGCTTCGAGACAAGCGACTGTACCCGAAATAGTTAACCACATGGTTTACCACAGACTGTCAGGGTGATTAAAATTAAAGAGTTATCAGATTAGCAGCAAGTTGAGATCATGTACTCTCACTTTCCCTGAAAGCTAAAAGCATGTTTCCCTCAAGACTTCAAAAGCCTCTTTGAAGCGGACTGAAGATCTGAATCTCAGCATGAGGCACTCAAACCTACAACTCTTTAGTCTCTTCTTAAGAAAACCCGCAGCATTTAGCCTACTCATCATAAAGGGCAAACATTGTTTTAATCAATGATCAAATGAAGTTAGGGTTCTTCTGAACTTGCACGCAACAGATAAGGATTGTGCAGAAATGGTGCACACAGGTGACAGCAAGCACTACCCATCAGGCTGGTGCTCTTGGATCAACTCATCCACGTTGCAGCTGGATCTCATGCAACACTCCTAGGATCCAGCCTTTTCATTTCACCCACATCACTCAAATGCTTGTCTTCTCACGTCTAAACCACTGCAGTATCTACTTCTTTGGCCTTTACAACCAAATTCCTGTCTCTGATCCAGAAAGCATTTGGAAAGATGAATTTCCTAGGTCTCATCGTGACTTTCTGTTTGCTTCCCTCTGTTGACTTCTAACTGCTTTACTGTAACATCAAATATTTTGCTCCCCTTTTCAAGAACCTTATCCCTATCAACCATCATAACCTTTCAAAATATTGGCTTCTCTTCCCGTGCTAGACCTCCTCACCAACGTGTTTGATACCAAAGTCATCAGCTGTGGGGTTTATTGTTGTACAAGTCCTCACACTGGGAGCAGCCGTGCATGAATACGGACATTTCAAGATACCCGTTGCCATTATTCTTCTTCACTGTCTTTAAGTATCTTATACATCTTCAGAGGTGCTTTTCTTTAAGTGGTCTTTTACCCATCTTTCAAGAACAGGTAGGCACCCAACATGCTAATCAGTATTACTTCTGTACTTTCTTGCCTTACATTGGGATCCTAAACTTCCTCTGTTTGTCAGCTATTTGTACCATGTCTAACGAGTCCTAGCTATCAGCCAGGACTCCAGGCGTTGTGGCAGTAGATGTGATAATAACTCATGATAATGACTACACTCTCAGTGAAGTCTGTCTGAGAATGGAAGCTATAGTTTGGCCATCAAACCCAGAAGAGCTCCCAGTGCTTTGACATTTAGAAGCATCACAGGTTCAGGCTAATTGCTGTATTCAAACTCCCATCAGGGAAGAATAAGTATCCCCCAAAGCTGCAGAGGCCATAAGTGGTGGCACATAGGTGTGCAAGGGTCTTTCACAGCACTGGAGATCTCAGGATAGTGTGGGAAGACTGTGCAGAGAGGAAGCAGACCTGCTGAGGTGTGGATCATATTGCCTACACAGAATGACCTCTGGAGTGAATCATCCCTTGAACTTCATTCAGTCTTTGTGCCCGAAGAAACTGCATGGTTTGCCCCTAAAAAATCAACATCCCTGCCATGTGGGTGATAAAAGAGCTGGGATGGGAAGAAGCCAGGAAACTAGGGAATGGCAGTGTAGATTTACTCCTTGACTAATTTCTGACTTTTTTATATTTTTAGGGGAGAAAAACATTGCTTTTTTTGCTGTTTTGCACCTGGTTGGGAATTAGTCTGTCTCTTTGTTTGAGTTGGTGTGATAGGAAAATATAAATCTTATAAAAGGCCAGCACAACTAGGCGAAATCTGCCTCATAGCCTCTGGTGGCCCAGTTTTACATAGCCCAGTTTTCCTCTGGATTCTGCATCCCGCCACAGCTACTCCAGGGCTACAGTCCTGCTAGTATTGGTTTAAAAGACTGCCCTCACATCACCTTCAAATCTCCTCTTGGGGTTTTGTTTGCCTCCTCATTTTCCCTCCCCACATCTCCCAGTTCTCCATTCCCATGACAAGGTGCTGTGTGTCCCTATTTCCTTCTCTTTCAGTCCTGATGTCCTCTGTCCTCCCCTTCCTTCATTCACAAGCTTCATCAGCCCCCACCTACCATTCCCATTTCCTACACCCCAAAAGAGCCCTGTGACTAATTTCTTTGCACTTAGAGGTACTAACATGATGTATTGAAATAGGCCAAAGAGAAAGGTTGGTGTAATTACATTCATGGGATTTAGCACTGCTATCGGTTGCAGAATTGCTAGAATCCATAGCTCTCCTAAGGCAGCTGGGAATTCGCATTTCTCCCCCTATTAGTGGATTTTTGGTGCCTACAGCATTTCTGGAAATTTTGGAACTGGTTTCAGATATTATCATATAGTGGAGAGAGACATGCCCTTGGAATTAGAAGGAGACTAGTGAATTCAAATGATAGACATCTGTGAAACATAAAAACTAAAAAGGAGTTATTGCATCCTCTGGTGTGCTCCCAAAATTAAGTTTGATAGGTTTTCTGAGACCTGCAAGCCACTCCTTGTCATCTGAGCCACAAGATAGGTGGGATTCCTGCTATTTCTGCTTAAGTAACAGTGTCTGATGCTATTTGAAGTG